TTTTTTTTTTTTTTTTTTTTTTGTGTGTGGTAGTTTGCACGGAAGCTTAATTGTGTAGTGTCGTAATAAAGTGCAACACGCTATGTTATAAAGTGCGGTGTAGTGTTTTATCAAGTGCAGCTTACTAATATATAAAATGCACTACCTTATATATTCCCATATAAATTATGTGTTTTGAAAATTAAATTTAGTAAATATAATTGTACATCAAATTAACCTACATACTTGAAATACTTTATTATCTATTATTATAACAGTATATTTATTATTTTAATATTTATTTATATATCAAAATTTTACATAATGTTTATTTATATATTAAAATTTTACATATTAAAATTTTTAATCATTGTACACTTTATTTATCATTAATATGAATTTATGTTAATATTACTATAATTTACATGTTTGGTCATGAACTAAATTTAAAAATACTCAAAATTAATAAAATTGCAAATTGTACATCAACATTATCTATTTTCTTTTAGAAAAAAAATAAAAAAATGAAGCCCCAACATCCTAATTTGAATTTGCAAAATTATTAAACATTATTAAAATTTCTCCAAATTACAAATTTGACCAGGGACTAAATTGACATTTAGTCAAAATTTATAAATTTCCTATCAAGTCCCTAGGAACTATCTAATTTCCAAAATGATGCCCTTGGAAATATATGTTTCTCAAATTGCTGAAAATCACGCATTGCTTCTTCTCCAACCCTTGCTATCAGATCGTTGGTGGTTGTTATCGGTTTTTCGGCTTCGGGACGGGCAGACGTGGCTGTGGGAAAGGCGGAGACGTCGCCGGCGCATCATCCTCGTCAAACAGTGACGGGCAGAGCGACAGCAAGGCGAGCGGCGGCCTTTGGCGGCGAGATCGAGCAGTGGCTGTGGGTATGGCTGATCTTGCGCTGGTGTGAAGTGCCAGTCGGAGGCGAATGGTTGTGGCTTATTACCGTGCGCGGCGGCTCTCCAACGGGACGATGGCGGCGGCTCTCCGACTGGACGATTGTGGTGGCTCTCCGACGGGACGATGGTGGCGGGATGTGCATCTTCACGTCCAGCGGTTGCGGCGGCGCTCCGTGAGAGGCCGTTGGTTGGTGTGCACCATGTCGGTGTGTCTGTATGCACCCCGTGAAGTGTGTGTAAATGTGTGTGTGTGAGAGAGGGGGTAGTGGGGAAGATAAAACTGTTTAATTTGGGTGGGGCCTACTAATTATTGTGGTGGAT